CCTTTTCTCATCATCATTAAGGACAGTGACCAGCTTTTCCACCAGCAGAGACACAAGAGAGGTGGGGGTGTTGGGTAGGACAAGCATCTCCTGCAACACAGCCATCACCCTTTTCCTGGAACATAATCACAATTCATACAGTCATTATATAGCATTATATTACACTCTCACTATATACCAATAAAGTTAGTGGGCGATATGGGAAAAATTTCCCATTCTTTTCAGGCGGAATCACGATTCACGATCTTATCACGATTCCTTCATGTTGGTTTTTAAGACTATTTTGCAAGTTACTGAACAGTAATTGTGTTGGTTTGGTAAAATCCAACCAAGTTCCATATTACTGATGTCCAACTCTTTTTAGAGATCAACTCCTCCATGTCTTCCATGCCGCTACATTGCCATATAAGGACTGTGTAGCGTGCTGTGCGTTGCATGTTGAGGCTGAGGGCGCAGAAGGGAGAGAGGAAGAAATCCTAGGAACTACCTGCTGTTTGCCATTATCGGTTTATTGGTGTGTCGAAACACATTTGGCTGACAAAACAACTTTAGATATATGTATAAGCCATAATGCAACTGATTGTGCACAGCAGTACAATACTTTCTAACAATATTATAATCGTTAATATCATAAAATCATGCACTCCTACAATAAAGTTCTCAAAATTTTTGTATCAGTACCCAAAACAAAATGGGGGGGGGGGGCATTAATCTCACCTTCCACCTTCTTCAGCTGTATCCAGGCAGCCCACTAACATGATCAGCTGCTGACCTATGAACTCCTTTGTCATGACCACCTCTACCTGGGAGAAATTCGCCCTGTTTTCTTCACTCAGCATTGGGATGCTCTTCAAGTACCTGAAACAATGTTGATGGATCAGTTTAACATGCATGAGCTGCAAATCTATCTGCAAGAAACTGTCCCTTTACAAGACAAGCCACATTTTGGATCCCTGCTTGGAAAATTCCAAAAAGGGGACGCTAGTGCCTCATTATTATTGCTGCTTACTAGTCATTTTTCAATAAACTAAATCCAAATGACATAAAAGTGTTTACCCATAAAGGTATTCTGCAAAGATGGCGGCCTCAGGGAGAAGCTGCTCCAGCATCTCCTCCCCCTCGTCTCCTTTGGACTTGGTGAATTCACACAGCGCCCTCCAGTACAGAACGTTCTCACAAGTGAGCGTTTCCACTGGCATCAGTTTCCTGAAACATTATGTTTAATTAACCAAAAAACTAGAAATTAATTAGGCTTGGGTGAATATTAGCATAACTTACCAAATTTGTGCCTGCTTTTATATTATAACTCCTACTCAAACTATAATTAATTAGACACAAACCCTTTGAAAGTGAAGGATTGGGGGAGGGTAGGAATCATTGTCATGTAAAATATTTTATATTAATGCATTATATTAAAAGAATGATAAAAGGCAATGTTTAGACAAATACTAATAAGAGTCACAAATTTCTTAGCAGTTCGTGATCCGGGAAGGCATCTTCATAATACAAGGCGAGAGCTATAGAAGACAGAAGTTACTGCAGACCACATTTTTGCTCTCTGCCAGACAGTCCACATTTTGGCTTGGGAGCAAAAACATGGACTGTCTGGCAGTCCCCGAGGACTGGATTGGGAAACACTGACGTAGACCTAACTGTCAATACCTGTTGTCAAGGTTGATGCGGCCCTGCATCAGGTCTCCAGGTGACGACAGACTGAAGATGCAGTTGAGGGCTGAAACGGCCACCTCGGGACAGTCCTCCACATCCAGCCTGTGCAGCAGCTCCAGCACGTCGCCCTGCAGAAGCCGGAGCCAGGCCGGCAGCAGCTTCTGCTGCACGACCTCCTTCACCGCTTCTGCAAACAAGAGCCACCAGCACGACACACAGCCAGGTCACGTCCGATTCTCCACTTCCCACTGAGGATGATGGGTCAGATTCTAC